CTACAAACCATTTTTCACTCGCTCGTAATTCTAAGCAATGAAACCAAGTTAATGTCCAACTACCAAACAAGGTTAAGACTAACTTAACGTCAAAATTAAAATATTCACACAAGCGTGTAAGCAAATAAATCTCCTCTTTACACCATTAAATTCCATAACAAGTTTCGTGTTATTTACGACGGGGAAAGTGAAACGTAAAGGCTAATTTTAGGCACGTAGAACACAGTGTAGTGTAATAAAACTGCTTTAACGTAGTTTGCTATTAAACTGATGTTGCTTGCTCACGAAAGCTTGTATCTGTCTAAATTCGTCTAGACCAAGGTACAGTCGGATGAAAATTCCACTTTCATGAAGTTGTTCCACTCATTCATACGTAATAAACTCGGTCCGTATATGATTATTTCGCTGGGAAACAAAAATAGATATGATGAGGAAGGCGGAGGGGGCGCGGGCGGCTGCGATCGCTCTCAGGGGTAAACAGCCGACGATTGAATGTGAAAATTTAATTCAGGTCATTTTCATCGCTGGGCCAACGGTACCTATTAGGTTTTTTCCCCAAAGAAAGTCATTATTCACCAAATATTTTTTAAATACGATCCCTCGGAGGATTGAGCCCGAAAATCCGCAGACGATTTCGACTGTCGCCGCGCCGTTTTCGATGTTTCATGCTATTATGCGAGGTGAAAGTTTTAAAGTCTGATTACCTTTGTGCATATTTTTGCTATTGTGCTGTAAAAATATTCAGTCGGAGGAGGCAGCGCGTACCTGCTCTCTATGTATGGGTGCAGCGGAAATGCAGCCAGGTTCAACCTCGAGGCACAAAAGACTTTGAAAAATGCAAATTTAGCCGAGGGCGGTGACGGCCGGGCCCGCGCCCCGGCGCCTGCCATTTAAATGCAACCTAACTTGTCAAAGTTTGGCGCTTTGCAAATGAATGCTAGGTCTCAGCTCAATTTATTCCAGGATTTGTATAAAACACCGCTCTATATACTTACAAGAATCAATAATGCAGACGCCTTACCGAGAGCGCACTTGAATTTACAACTGGATGGTTTTTGCATTTTCTTAAACATTTTAATCAAACGAATACATCTTCTTTTCAGAATCGTCTTGCATATACATCTTGAAGATTACCTAACGAACAGAACAACTGTAAATAAAGCAGTTAGATAGCAGCAAAATGATTCAGATATTCATATTTGCCGTCATAATACACAAATACGTCTCTAATAACTCAGCCGTCGACGGCGCGTGGTATCTCTCTTCGATTAAATTAGTCGATTAAATTTTCATATTCAATCTTGAGTTGTTTACTAAAGGGAGGCATCGCGCCGGTGGACCGGGCCAGTTGCTGTTGCATTTTAGACCACAACTCACCAGGATAAGGTTGGATATTGCCCAAATCTGGTAGAGTGAGAGGTAAAATATTCATGCGATCTATGATAAGAAAAAAACAGTCCAACTTGCCTAATATTGGCCACAAAAATATTGGTTTGAAATTCTGGTAGAGATTATGAAACCAGTGCATATATTTTGCGATTTTTAGGATTATCTTTAGAACAGGATACCTAAGATCACAAATCTTTTATTTTTAAACAATAACTAAAAACCGGCCAAGTGGGTGTCGTGACACGCGCAGTGTAGGGTTCCGTATTTGTCCTTCGTTACCACAATATACTTCAGAAGCAAGCAATTACGACTACGGAACCCTAAAAACTAAATTACTTACGATTAATTCTTGACTGAAATCAAATTTATAACATAGCCACGATAGCCGAACGGTGAAGGGGTCGGACTGGCCGACTCGTGATCCGGGGAACGCGGGTTCGGTCCCCGCCGCCGCTCGACTATTGTGGTGAGCTCACTCGTGACACAAGCATATTTAGCTTAGTACGAGGGGCTAACGGGAGTATTAGTAATTTGTGTAATAACAAATTACTAATAATCTTTTTAAAAAAAAAAAAACAAAAAAAAAATAAAAAAAAAAAATTGTAATACTTACCGATAGTGCTAACTAAAGTTGGTTTCAGTGGAAGCCCCACTCATACCAACTGCTAGCATTCTAATTAAACTAACAGTTGCTTCGGCATCCAGTGTCGATACCATTGCTCATAAATGACGGGAAGCGGGAAGCATGGCCGCTTACAAACCACCGGCATATCTAATGATCTAACGAAGGCGAACAGTTGCTCTTCATTCGCCATATTTATTGCCCGACAGCTCTCGCACCGCACCTGTAAATAAATACCTTCAAGCAAATTGTATTTCATAAACGCCACCGTTACAGCGACCGTTATAAATTGGTGGAGGATCTTGAAACAATTCTCCTTAATACCTACTGCTTTTGAATGAAGTTTCATTGTCTGTGTAATATCCAGCAGATCGATTGCTTGATGAATTGTGATAATAGGGATACATTTTTGAGTGGCTTGTTTTGGTAGGGGAAGAATGACCACAAATCTGAACAGTTTATTAAAATAAACAGAACTTTCTTTATAGACATAACATACGAAACATGAAGCGCAGTAAGTTGATATTTATGACATTTTTTAAAGTTTTCTGTAAGCTTATTTTGATACTCAAGGCATGTTTCATATTACTTTATTGTGTGTAACATTAGAACTAAGAACAACAGTAAATTACATGATATTCATATTAATATTACAAAGCCTGAACTTACGTAAATGTTTTGCTGCTAGATTAATGTCACGTAGAATTTTATTTTTCTTACATACCTACATGGTATACTTACATGGCCTTTTAGTTAGTAGGCTCAAGAAGCACAATTTATATGTAGCCAAAAATATAATTTTATAGCAAAGGGAGAGGTCGGCCATAAAGAAAAGTCACAAGTGACGTCGGAGGGCGGGACGCTATTACCTAAATAATAAAATTATATGCGGTTAAGGGGCTTTTAGCGCTGTCCATATTCCGTGTTTACTTTATGCCATTTCACGTAAAGTGCCTTTCTGAGGTTGTAATACTAATTGAGTTTGTAGAATCGCTGAGTAAACCGAAACAAGGTGTTTAGTTTCATACAGCCGTCGGCTACACACCAGAGCGAGCGACTTAACTTTCATTAATGTACATTCTAGCCCTTTAATATTATTTCAGTAAACTCGGAACGCCTAAACTGTTTGTGTACTTTGGCCGTATAAGAAACATTAATCAGGGGCCTTTGAAATGTTTCTATTTATACGAGTAGGCCCAGGAAGCGCCCACAATGGTTAACTGATTGGAAATTTTGTTCTTAAGTGGAGTTCTGAATAATAGCAGTTAAGTGATACAATAATTACGTAACCATTGTTCTCGACTGTAAGTAGGTGCTTTTTGCTCGATCTTGTTACGATTATTTGCTTTCATTAACCCAATGTTTTCGTAGTAAGATGTAGAGATACTGGGCCTTAATGAAAAATCAAGAAAATTAAGTTGTTTAATCTAGCAGTTTTTATGTCTTTGCACCTTTTAATATTTATTGAAATGCCGATTCGTAGAACTTCTAAAGTTTTTGGTAAAACTTATTCATAAACTGTGAAACAGACCAGAAAACTTTAATTTTGCTGAAACTGGAGATTATTGATGTCCTTAATCTCTGTAATGTCTTTGATGGATTAAAGTTTCTGAAATCTTAATAATCATAGTTATTGGACTTCAGTTGGTTTCCAAAATAGATTTTGCAATCCAGCCACGACGAGTCATATTACAATAAAAATAATGTGAATGTTCAGAGTAAACGTTGAAACTTTCTCGTATCAAAAGCAGACGCATTAGTCTTAATCCACACTCGACTGCTATCATTACTCCAGGACGGATCGGGTAGCATTATGAATTCAAAAATTATACCATTGTGTTACCCGGGAATTGTTTTAAGTGCGCTGTTTCGTTTGCTCAGTTTGTTTGGCCCGACTACTTGGCGAGCGCCGGCGGGCCCGCAACTTGCTCCCACTCGCATTTACAAACCCAAAGACCTCGGGGCTCCTATACATTTTGTTTGTTATTGTTTAGAATTACCTATCCAAACAAACCGCCTCATAAATCCCCAACTTTTCAACCGCAACTTTTATACTGACCTGTTTGGCCAAAGTGCTGGAATTCAGACATGACCGTCGCTCAATAAGTCACTTTAGTATTTTGTTTTCATAAGCGTTGCAAACAAAAATTGATGAATAAAGTTCGCCGTGTTTCAAAGTTGTTTCATTCGAAAAATGCTAATTTCAGATACTAAAGCAAAAATGCTTTGAGCAAATATTTCATTCGGAGTTTTCATTGCACAAGAACATAGATGAAAAAACAGTTAAAATTATGAAAATAGAGCTACAAGCAAGTTTTCATACATTTTTGTTTCGTTTCATTGCTAAGATGAATAATAATATTCTATTCACTCGTAGCATGCTACGGATTTCGTAGCACACATCAGCTACCGCCTGCGACTCTCAATCGAAAGCAATTTATTTATTACCAAGTGAATAAAAAAATACTAGTTTTCACATTGCTATTAAAAGTAATGATACCATTTAAATTACATATTTAAACCGTTCAGACTCTATATTGTATACTTTACATCCACAATAATACTTATTGCTTAGAACAATAAATTAGTTTAAGTGATGATACCGTAGTCGAAGCTTTTTCCACTCAAGGTGATCAAGCTCTTAGAATAATTTAACAATACAACTTAATCTTAATTATATTTAATCGTGGTATTTTTCGTGAAAAAAAATTATTGAAAATGTAATTTGCAATGTAAAATTTTCGCGTACCATTATGTCTATTAGGCTTTTCAGTTAACTGTGTGTACGTATTTTTCAATGTAAGGAGCAAATTATCCACGTGTACCAATTTTGAAACCGCGCGCAGTGGATAAAAATACTCGTAATGAAATATTAAAAAAAAAATCTTTATGTAAATCGATTAAGTTACTGATTCTGAGTCGCTGCTAAAAGTGTGGATACTGATTGCAAAGTCACCCTGTTTAATGTATGTTTCTTTCTCGCACACAGATGAACAACGCCGCATATACGGGTCGCAAGGAGGAGAGGAACCTCCGCGCTACGTCAGCAGTCCGCAGCGGCAGGCCTCGCCCTTCCCTCTTGAGAGCACCAACCGGAGGTACTTCAGGAGGAACAGGAACTCCAAAGGTCCGTGGGACATCTGGGAATAAGATAATAATAATAAAATAATAATAAAAAATGTATTTATTGCCTTCGAACCATATACTTATTTAATTTGGCATGACTATTAGTGTGCAATTTACTGATTTTAAAAAGTATGTTATCAATTCAACCGTTTGTTTTTTTATGTTTGTTACTTCAAAATTCCGGTAATTATGCATGAACTGATTTCAAAAACATTTTAGAAGGATACCGTGCAATTCAAATTATATTACTACCTAGGGATAGAAGTTTTAAACCGAAAATAAATTTGACTTAAAAACCATACTTTACATTCAGGCTTAAAAATAGTTCGTTTATCAATGACTTGTTTATTCAGAAATCGGAAATCATCAACACGACGTGTTGAATTAAAATTAATAGCAATTAAGCGTAAACCACAAGACACAGAATTGGTATTTAGCTCACAATATACCTACTGAATCGCTTACAATAAACAATACTCATCGATCTATTGAATATGTAGGTAGTTCAATATGCTGTAATAGTATTCATATGTGTACAATACCCTTATTCACGTACCGTGAAGATAATTAAGCTTCTCAATCGATTGGACACCTCCTCCGGGACCTCTCTGTCAATACCTCTGGATTTATCGCGCAGTTACCTTATATTAGGTAGGTATAGGTCGCGCAACGAGACTTGAGGCCATCAACACAAGCAAAGATTTTGTATCTGTCTGTATACAGCTACGCTGTCTGAGCTGACTACTTGCGTAGGCGGATTGACAAGTGCTTTCTGTCTTGCAGACATCTAACAATAGCGAAGTAGTTAGTGTATTCGATATTTGAACTTGAATGTGTTGTTTGTGTTCTGTATTCAAATATTACATCAGTGTGAGTATACCTAAATTTCGCCTCAACTTACGTTGAGCGACCTATACAGCCAACTTCATACAAAAGTAACTACATACTACCATTGTGGGCTTAATTGAAAATGTGATTAGATAACAATGGATTCTATCTGTATTCTAAGACTTTATTTAGTACAGTTAATAGAGACAGATCCTATTATTTATTACCTATTCGCTTCTATTAGTAGTTTACTCTCGGTTCTAACAGTGACGCAACGCGAAAGAAAATGGACATTCATTTTGTATGATTCACAGACTTATTTCTGATACCTAATATTATCTTTTAATAATCTGATTTTCTGAATTATGTTTCCTTAACGTGGCTTGGTTGATCTGTCAGATGCCTATGGCAGCTCGTAAAGTCTGACCCATAGCATAGGTACGATGAAAATGATCTGATGATTATGATGATTTGGGCTATGAAATACATTATTTTTTAATAATAGGGAATCGTCGCGTCGGTCGTCTTTTGTGGATATTCCAGCTTATTGAATAATAACAAAAAATTATAAATTATGTTTGTGAAATATGTATGGTTAATTGATATAATTTTGTATAGGCGAGGAGATGTTTACCAACGAAGCAGGGGGCACACTCTCGCGTCGCCGGCGAGCGGACGACTTCACGCTCGACAACAACGCGCGAAACGCTCGCCATTGCCTCAATAATGGTAATTATTATACTTAGAATATAATACAAATAATAGAATAAAGCACCTCGATGTAGACAGCATTAAGGGCGGTCGTTATGGAATTGCCATTTGTCCAACAGTGGACGTCTTTTGGTTGAAACGAAGAAAAGAAAGAAAGCTACTTTTGGTTATGTACTTAAAAGTGCTTTATAATAGCCTACTTGCAAAAATAAATGAGTTTTATGAGTTAAAACAGCCAGCCAATAAACTGACGCTTTTCATTTAAGATATTAGTAGGTATTGAAACATTATGAATGTATGTTTGTATAATTTACAGTTTGTTAACTTTGAATATATTCCTGTCAGTAATGCGTAAACTTTTTGGGAACAATGCTGTGGCAGGCTGTGGCATTTTTAATTCACTCTGCAAATTGAAGTAGCAAAATTCATTGGTGTTCACTCAAATAAAACAGAAATCAATTTTATATTTCTCACAAAGGTTCAGTGGAATTCATAGAGTAATTGGGTTTATATTTTTGCATACGAAAGTAAAAAAAAACATCAGCGTCAAAAATAGTTTGTGACACCCGAAGTAGCCGAAAAGTTCGCAAGTCGCAACACTTTTTTGTTACAATAATTAAATAAAGTTGTGTTATCAACTTTTTGGCCACTTTGGGTGTCACAAACTATCTGACGCTGACTGTATGTCCAAAAAATAAACCTACCTCTACATTCCGATGTCATAACTACATAGCTCCTCCAGAAGCGTTATCCACCTTTTCCTCATTAGACGACGGCCTGGTCAGCCCAGTCATTGCATTGTTAATTCCCTGCCCGAAATGTACGGAATGAATGAGGGATTACACACATTCCAGTCTAGTTATTGTAGTAGGTATTCTGTATACCTACTGCTATACCGAGGTGGGTGCATGCCTTTGATAAGGATGCCTGGCATAGTTCCCGAGACGCACGTGGCGTATAGAGAGGAATTGTGTTTATTACGAATGCTAAGATATCTTTGTGGGGTTAGCGAACATAATTCCTCGACTGTATTCGCGATAGCGACAACGTTGAGGGTGAGTTTTGGTTTGGTTAAAATACTTTTATAGGAGAATAGATATCGTAGGTGGAAATTGAATTTTCTTTTCAGTTGGAAAACGCATACCATTTTTTATTTTTGCTCGTATGTAATAGACGGGATAGTTCATTTTGTTTATATTAGTCAATACCAATAAGATGGCAGATTCTGTAAGATTTGTCTTTAATAAAAAAAATTGAGCTCTTTTATTGTACAATATTTTTGATGTCGACTGTTATTTGATTAAAATTAAGTAAGAGCAATAAAATCTACTCCATTATCTAGTTATATACTTACTTACGTAAATAGGACTACAAAATTCATAAGAAAAAATTCTAGTGTAGTGTCAAAACATAATATCATAAACGCTGAAAACAAAGTAGAGCTAATTTGAACCTTATTTCTAGGCGCGCCCAACAACGGTGGTCAGACCAGCGAACGCGAGTGCGAGTCCCCGCCAGAGCCGGCTCCTCCCGAAGTACCTCCCAGAGGTCCCTCGCTGCACGTCACTCTACGACACCGGCCTGTGCCGTGCGACCAGCCCTCCGAGCCTGACCGCCTGTATCTGTCTGAAGGTAAGTTTTTTTTTACAAGTGTTGGGAACCAATATCAAATCCAATATTTATTCAGTACGTAGCGTAGTCCCTTTCCAGGGCGCGTATACACGTCCCAANGGCCCTTTCCAGGGCGCTTATACACGTCCCAAATATAGCTTGCCCTACCACTACTTCGGGACAACATATGGGCTGGCGCAGAGAAGAAGTGACGGAAGAAACTCAGTAACCTCTATCCTGTAATACAGAGCTGGACCAACCTTTTTTATAATTTGTCTATATTTTTTATACTTTTTTTATACCTTTTGTGTTTAGTTTGTTATTATTACGGTTTGGTAACTGTCAGAGTATATTTTTGGGCCAAATAAAGCTTGGTTTTGATCAAGGCTTTGACGCTGACCTAACAGCTGTCCTTTACAACGAGGAAAATAATTTTATTACGATACGACTTCACAAAGTAATGACTGACAGTAAACTGGAGAAAAAGAAGAAGCCACAACAAATATTGTCGCAATCGTGACGCTCATGATTATTCTTGTATGACTTCATGTCACAAATACGTGTTAATTTTGTAATCGTGTGTGTTATTAATGTTTATCTTGTTTAAAAATATTACCTACGTATATTAATCGTTTTCTTTGAGTACCTATATCAGCTAGCCTAAGCGCTCCTGCACACGACGCCGCCACCGCGCCGCCCGCCGCGCCCTCGCCGCGCCCCTACACTGTTCATACGCACCGAGTAAAGCCCGCTGCCTCGCCGCCACCGCGCCATCAAAGCATAATTTCGCCAGCGGCGCGGCGGCAGCGCGGCGGCGGCGCGGTGGCGGCGTCGTGTGCAGGAGCGCTAAGACGGTTTAAAAGTTTTCCATTAGTTTTCTATTGGAAAAGAAGAATAACAAATATTACTTATTCCACAGCTGCATACAGTATAATCTACTTTATGAAACTGAATTTAACATGTTTATACAAAATTATACACCACATAAAGACTGAGAAAACAAATTAGAAAGACATTGAAGGATATTTCAAATATTACTTTAGTAAAAACATTTTAGTGGAGTTTTTTATATCAAGGTGAGAAAAGGGCAGACGGTCCTTTTTAGAAAATGAGCATAATAAAGAGATATTAATAAGTTAGTTCTGTCGTGTGGGTTGTAACATTTTTGTTGGTAATATCACATAATAAAATAAATACCTACTACGTAATATTAAATACCTATTTGCTAAAAATGTTACGATATTAAATTGTTTCGTAATAGCAGCAGATGTCCATATAAAAATAGTTCGCACAAATCACCACAACTGGCATGCAAATAGCTTACAACTACTTAATCTACGCAATTTAATAGATACATGCAACAAAATGGAGTAACAAGTGGGAGGTTAATTCTCAATTATTTTTCGTTTAGGACTATAGCATCTAATATGTACTTATATGATAGGTTTACTTGATAGAGCACTGTTGAAGTTCCATCTATTAATAGTGCATGAATTTAAAGTGTGGTCTCTCGTACTAACTACCAATTATGTAATAAATTCAAGTAAATTTTAAAAGAGATGCTAATGAAACTATCTGTAGGTAATCGAACGTTTTAGGACAACCTTTTATTTTCATTTCCGTCCGAGAACGTCATTGGTGCTGGTCGATGGGTGCAATTCCCTGCATGTTTCAGGCCGCCCGATGAGTTCCCTAATGAAATTTCCGCTGTAATGTACAAGCGAGTTGCGTTAAGTAGGCGGGCCTTGTGTGTCTACTTCGGCGCAAGTTTTTAATCGAATTGCAGCGTCCGCGCGAGCCGGGACCAACTTGCCTCCCGTTGACAAATTAGCCACTTGATCTCGCTATGCCCGAGGCGCGTGTATAAAGAACTCCAACTTTAATTCCCTCTAACTCTCTTTGAACTTTTTCTTGTTTACACTCTCCAGTTCTGATTAGCTTAATCCGCCAGTCTTTTGTTTAACTTGTTAATATCTCGGTCAGATATGAACTGGGGTCAGACACGGGAGCCTTTCGACGTTTTAGCGAAAGAAGAAAGCTTGTAAATTTGATTTGGACGAAAGCCCGACGCAGGATAAGTCCTTTGATGTGGTGCGCCTCACCCGCCAACCGCGCCCTGCTGAAATGGCGCGCACTTACAGAGAAACTCTTTCCGTAATTTAATTTTTTTGATAGCGCAGTGTAAGTGTCCCGGGGAGAGTACTATTTGGATTTGTCCTTCATTTGTGTCCAACGACGAAAGTAATACATTTTGTGTTCTTAAGCAGCGAAGAAAATTCTGAAAATTGAACTGATTACAGAATAAATAACTAAGATCTTCCTTAAATCTAGGTCGTCTGAAAATACCAGTAATAACAAACTGTCAGCCAAGTTAATAGATGATAAGTCTCCGTCAGTCCGAGTGGAGGCATGGGAACAAATTAGGCAAATCTTGATTCAAACAAGAAAATAGCTTCAAAAGGTCTTGAAAGTTTAATGGAATCGAACAGGCCGACCGGGGTAGTAGGAAGTTTGCGCGGGTGACAAATTGGGCACTTGACCCGCGCTCAGCGAGCCTCCGAGAGCTTGTTTCCTGGGGACCGTAATAAGTTTAACTTAAAGTAAACTATATTCCATTCCCTCTAATTTGTCCTGCTGGTAGGTCCTATATAGCGGACTTTTTGCCGTATCAAATTAACATCTGTTTATTTTGCCGTAGTTTTAGATGCGCGCTAAAAAGTTGTTACGATGCAGCGACCGTTGTTGGTCTTGCTAATTAGGTACAAACCAATTACGTGGGAAGACGTAACAGCGTTGTGTAGAGCTCGGGTTCGGTATTTATATTCTTACAGTTATGGTTTAATTAGAAAATGATGTGATTTAACGTTTATTTAGAGAAAATTCATCAGCTTTTTGTTAAGGTTGTCACTAATAATTCCCGCTACACGTGTAGAGCTTGTATTTAAATATTTCAGTATATTATTTTCAGTTAAAATTGGGCGACTTTTCATTAATAGATAATTATTTAAATAACTACATTGAAAATATGTCTTTGTAAAGAAAACTTTCATCTCACGCATTAAATGAGATCCCTCTAGAAATGGATATCATTAAGTGGTGGTATTACACTTCGATGTATACTGCACTGTTCTGGCATATAACTTGATCTTTCTCAGTTCTTCAAGTATAACAATTACGCGGCAATGGAATATACCTAAATAGGTAGCCGCAGCGCGGTCTTGGTTGCAATATTTGCAACGCAAGTTACGTCTCAAGCCCGTCTCTCAGACTTAAAGGAAACTTTTAAAAGGACAATGACCAAAAGTGGTCCAAATGTCCACCACTAATGAGACCTATATTGGCTTATAGTCCATTAAATAGAGATTAACTTTCAGTATGGGACCAAAAAAANTAGGTTTCCTATATGGTAACTTGTATTTTGTATGGAATATTATTTACACTAGACATGAAGAATTATGGTGTCAATGTACTGCCTACCTTCAGTGGTAACATCAAGGTAATAATTAGTTAACTAAAAAGCAAGAAATAAGTAAAATTTTATTAAAAAAAATAAAACCGACTCCAAAAAACCTACACTAAAAAGTAGAAAAATAATTACTAATTTCCTACTTATTTATTAGGACGAATTAATATTTATGTAGAAATGTAGGTATACCATGATTGATACTTTTTGGAGTCGGTGCAGGCAAACTTTACATGTTTCATAATCTTGGCACCGACTCCAAAAGTATCAATCATGGTATACCTACATAAATATTAATTCGTCCTAATAAATAAGTAGGAAATTAGTAATTATTTTTCTACTTTTTAGTGTAGGTTTTTTTAGATAATTGATACAACGAAACTCTTTCTTTCTTAGCTTCATAACAATTACGCGGCAATGTAATAATACTTGTAAGTAGCCACAACAGCGCGGTTGCAATATTCGCTACGAACTTGCGTCTCAAGCCGCAGCCTCTTGCCTCAGATGGAACCTCAACAGCAGCCTTAATTTAATTTTTACGACGCCGTATTGTTTTTACATTGTTATTTACAGCTCTTAAGAAGAGATTTTGTGATTGGATAGTTAATTAATGACGGTCATTTTTACATAGATATATTTTAATGTAGGTTAAAGGTACCTACGTAGTTTTAGACTCTTATCAAGTTTGATATCAGGTATTTATATAATTATTTATATTTATTATTTAGTAAGCCTAAGGTATAGACTCACGCCCGTATTCACAAACGATGCTTGCTTAAGTAAAGCAGCAAATCTAGAGAATAGAGCTCTGTGATTTGTTCGTGTGTCACCCTCTGCGTCCACGCGCACTGTGAGACCTCATAGTAATGTTTGTGAATACGGGCGTGTGTTACGTATACGTACGTATTCTATTCAAAACCTTACAATTGTAACTACTTTATACAAGCTTGTTATTCCATCCAACTTTATTCGATAGCATTACGAATCTTTAACGAAAGTGAACGTTTTTAAAATTATTCAATTCACCATTTCATTGTAAGGGGTTCCTCCGTACTAACTTGCCTAGCTATAGAACGCCGACTTCCTCGTCTGATGGGGAAATAAAAACGTTATTACTTCTTTTAACATCGCGGTAAAATTAATATAACTTCAGGCATTCTCTTTCGGCGCTCCTCTGTTTCATTTAAAGGACTTTTAGAACGATATCGCCAACAGTAAACATTTTTTATGAACAGACTGAACGTAATTTAGAAGAATTAAATTTAATATCGCTGTGTTTAGTTATGATTGGATGTAGTCGAAGAGACGAAATTTCTTATTTGAAACGATTCCTAAATTGTATAAAATGTATCTTTAAACATATCCATCAAAATTGTTGTGTAGACATGAAAAAGTAACTAACTGGTAATTTATCTACAATTTCTCCACCAAGTGCGAGTATACGTAAGTGCTAATTTCACAATTATAATATTAATTGCTGAAAACCCTTGTTTATCAGGTAATATTGAGTGTTTAGATTTAATAATGAGACCATCTTTTTTGCAGGTACTGATCATTT